TAACACCAGCCTCCTACATCCGTGGCTCTGTCTTCACCAATTGAAGACTTCTAGAGAATGGCTTTTAAGTACTTGAGACTTGGCCTTTTAGTGGAGTTTGGTTTTGAAATTAAAAATACAGTCTTAATCATGTTGCATAATACTACCCTTTCCACCCAGGAAAAATAGTGAATATTACAGCAGAGTTTGCCTGTTTACACTTGTACCAAAAGGTCTACAGAAATATATCTGGTACATTCTAGCTTGTGTGACCAGCAAATTCTTGGGTTGAGGTTTAGATCAGAGTTGAATAGCAAAAGAAAGATTAATCCTCTCACTAACAGGCCAGATCTCTGTTGCCTCGGGATCAGAAACCCTTCTTATTTCAGTGCAGCTTGATCAGGCTATCATTTCACATTGATATTACTTCCAGGGAAGCAAAGCAGGAAGGGGGAAGCTAGTGTGTGTCAGAAATAAGAGGTTTTCTTCTTTCAGATATTCACCTAGGCTTCAGTCTAGATGGAAGACAAAGAGGAACTTTGCATTGGGAGCTATGTGAGTGGTTCGGACAGCAAACCACTCACCTGGGGCTAGGGTCTGTCTGATGTCAACATGTAGGTTAAAGGAAAGCATGCCACTTTTCTTGGGGTGTTTGGAAAATTATGTTGCACTTGTTTGCTTTTCTGCATCTCCATGCATGGTAGTAGGAGGGATGGTAAATGCAGGCACTCAGTTCCAACAGCAAGTACACATTTGTGATTCTGCTGCAGGCTTTGGACAACCAGCCTTGGGCTTCATGGACTCTGATCCACCAGCCATGGGAGCCTGGTCCAATTACCCAGCTGGTGGTATGATAGCCTTAGTCTCAGTCAGCTCCTCCTCTGCCAACTCTGAGCTCAAGGAAGACTTGCCAAGTCATTTTTGTGAGAGAAAATGAATAGGGCCTCCCCTCAACACACTTTATAAAAAAATTAGGGCATTATTTAATTACAGATAAGAAGAACATGTTGCAGTTTTAAAAACCAGAACAGACGTGAGTATAAGGACAAAAAAACAAATGAGCAAAAACACCCAACCCCATTCATCAGTTTTGTTTCATCAAAGGGGTAGTAAAGCAGCAAGCTGTTTGCCTAAAGGCATCAAGTCTGGCAAGGATAATGTCGCACAGGAAAAACAAACAAACAAAAAACCAGAGGAGCTGTGCAGATGTAGCACCCACCTCAGGCTATAATTCTTTATAGGTTTCCATCATTTTTTTTGCAGCAGTGGCAGCCCTATCCAGAGCAGCAAGATGAGACATATGCAAGCTAGGAGATGTTTGTGCCTATGTCTTGTTTTAGCTGCAAATGTAACAAGGGAAAAATGGTAGCTGCTTCTTGTGATGTCATATTAAAATCCTCAGACCTTCCCTGTAACTAGAAGTTCTGCCACACCTTGCAATCACCAGCTTGAGCTACAGCCTTCTAGGTGATTGTACATATGCAATTAGCATGCCAAAAGCGAATGCTCTCAAAGGTAGAAAGTGCTTTTATTTATAGCACCTTTCTTAACATTGCATACAGCTGTAAGTATCCAACTGGTGTGAAGCTGCTCTTATAGACGGGAGCACCAACAGTATAATGACCACAATTGCAAGTTTAGCTCTAGAGCTTTATTGGATAGATAATATTTTAGAAGGTTTCAGGTTTTTTTTTACATGCACAAGAGCGACTAATGTGCCAGGATTTCTTTTTTTTTTAAAGTGAACATTTTAAGCCTAATCCTTATTCATGCCACAAGACATCCATAGCAATTCCACAAGTGCTGGTGGGAGAGCTGCTGGTAGGTTGACAGGTGAAAACTTTCATGTGTGGACCAGTACACATAGGGGATGCAGATGGAAACTGAATCAGTCCCTTGGTTAAGATTTGCTATACAAAGGATCACTTCTCAGGAAAATTAAATTTAAAAAACCTTGTGCACCTTACATAATTAAATCACAGTTCCCTCCCACCCCCCACCCCCCACAAGTGGTTACCAAAGTGTGTTAGTTGTCGAAGGCTTCGCTTTACACATTCCTTAGTCATGGTTTTTGGAGCATATAGATGACTCTGTATTCATCTTGTTAGGCTTTAGATTAATCTAGTTTCTTTTTGCCTGTGAACTCCACAGATGGAAGCCATTCATCACAAAAAAGTGTTCTTTTTGTTCTGTTGCTTTGCAAACTTGGTCTGTAAATTTCTGCTTGACTGCAATATTACAAGCCTTTGTGCTCGCTGTACAAGCTTTTGGGGAGTGAGAATCTTCCCTCTGTCCATCCGTCATGTTTCTTTCTTTTTTTTTCAGTTTAGGTTGTGGCTGGCAGGAGCAAGTCCCCAGTCAAACCTTGAGAAATCAGGAGTAATTTTTTACATCCTTTATTAATCCTGCTAAATTGTAAATCAAGCAGGTTTTCATGACCTGGGCTCTTTTCTATTTAAGTTTTAAGAAGAGTCCATTTTTGTCACCTGGAATCAGTTTCCCTATAACAGAGATCGCTCAGAAATATTGCGTACATTTGAAGTGGGTAGAGGAAATAGTAGCTTATGGAGCATGTGGAGACAATTTTTCCCCCCAACTAAACTTTGTATTAAATTAGATAGTTGCAATATTGAAGATAATAAATATTTTATTTCACCAAAATATCACCACTTCATTTTTCTTGGAATTTTAAAAGATTATGCTTCCTGCAGCTTGTTTTTAAGTAGTACCATCCTTGCAAGTTTTGAAACAAACACACAAGCCGGATTCTTTCTAAGAGTAATCAAGTGTCAAATATATAAAGTTATAGATGGTGCCTTCCTGCGTTTGGAAGCACACAGTCCATTTATTCATTAAAACTCTGAAAGCTTAAATGTGTAAACATCCAGAGCTGTTTTGTGTACCTGTCACTTTGGTAGGTTTTTTTTTTTTAATGAACATTGATCATGCTCATCCAGACATATATTTGAATTAAGCAAATAGAAGTGATTTCTCAAAACACCGGCAGAACTTATTTCTCTGACTAATATTTGAAAGAGCCCCAGGATGCACCTGGGAAGACACTTATCCATTTCAGGCACCTTAAGTCAATATTAATCCCAATAAAACATGATCCACTCTTAAGAAAGCTATTACAGTTTGAGAAATAGGTCAGCACAGAACATTCCAGTTCCTCCTGAAATAACCCTTAAATGTTTTTATCCTGCGATTTATCTAGTAGTGTATAAATATGGTTATAATCCTAGGGTGTTACTTCATAGTAGAGATTAGTTACCCAAGAAATGATAGCTTAAAAGTTGAGCCAGCAGTTTACAGACAAGTACAAATATTTTGATAGATACTATGTAGCTTGGCTTTCAAAAACTGAAACCCTTAATGGCAACAACTGTCGTTTAGATGGGCTTATGAAGAGCACAACTTTAATACGAGCCACTTAGAGTCAAAGTTGTTATTTTGATGCTTTTTTACGGGGGGGGGGGATGACAGACAGGAGGAAACCTTTTATTGAGAGTGAAAAGACATGCTCTCTTGACTGCTCTTTCTTACTCCTGCATATGTGGAGATACTGCTGTCACGAGGCTATGGAGTGATATTGTTTGTAAAGGGGAGGGGGGAAATGGCTTTATTGCTCCCCAGAGCAGGGCATCAGAACTTTGATCAAGAACAATTGGAACAGTGTCTATTGAACTAGGGATTTACTTAAGTGAGAGTGAAATTAGATTATTTCAGCTGAAAACTCTGCAACGTCTAGAGAAAGCACCTCCTTTCGGCTGAAGTCATAGTCAAATGATTAAGAATAGCAAGAGGCACTGGATAGTATGTAATCGGCTTTGCTGGAGCTTGTAATTTAACTGAACAAGTTGATAACAAAAGATTTTCTGTCCTCCAGGAAAAATAAGAGAGGCAGATGTCTTGCACAGCACCATTACTCTTTTGCCCCCAGCTCCGGAAGTGCTTTGCTCCTCCATACCCAACCCCTGTGCTCCTACATTTCACACACCCACTGACAACTGTGTAAGAGTTATTATTCTTTGGTGTACTAACTCTATATCTATACACACACCCATTTTAACAAGAATTCCTTTGCTGGCTAGTGTGTTATATTTGTGTGTGTGTGTGTGTGTGTGTGTGAACTATACCAACACAGACAACTTAAAACAACAAATGTTACAAAAATACGCATGGTATTTACATGTGCAAATGCTATGTTGATACAAATATAGACTCGTTACCAGTTCCTTTTTAATGACACACTTCTTCTCTCAACCTCCTGGCTTTTATGCAGGACTCCACTCACCCACCCTCCCAGGGACCAAACAAGCTCATAGCTCACCTGCAAAATCTCACAAAGAAGAGAGCTCCAAGAACCTGCTGTCAGTTATCCTAATCACTCTCTCTAGGCAGTTTTTATTGACTGCCAGCAGGGTAGATGGCATTTCCTCAGGCTTCCCACATTATGCCCTATTCAGCAGTCAGCTGCACTCAGGGCCGGCCCATCCATGATGTAAGTTGAGTCAACCACCTCAGGCAGCAGACTCCACAGGGGCAACAGGTGCCAGTGTAGATCCTTATTCCGCACCCCCTTCCACCTTGTTCCTGATGTAGAGCTTCATTCAACACTTTTTTCCTTGCTTGAGAAGCCGAAATGTATTGGGACATTCCTGGCTGCACTCTCCACATTCAGTTCCAGGCTATAGCACGTTTGGTGATATTCCCAGGTGGGCCCAAGGATGGCAAATAGGACATCCCTCCACTCTTACAGTTCTTTGTGTAGCCTCTGCAGGCTTCTCATGCAGCTGCTTTGCTGTCCCTTGGCAGAGCTTGCTTTTATGGGTGGAGACGACAAGGTGGATCAGCATCCCCACAAAGGATCATGTGACTCGGTTGTTTCTTATCTTTTCTCTGTGTTATAGCTCTATGATGTCCTACATCTCTGTTTTACTTTAGGTCTATCCTCCCTACATTATCTGCTTCACTGATCTAAATATGAGCTCTGGTTTGTTTTTGTTTTTTTAATGCAGGTGCGTGTCACATGTTTGGGACCCTTCATCATAGATACCAGGGAAAGAGCTATCCCATGGACAGTTTAAGAAGCGGTTCCAAAAAAGGTGAGCCTGATTTCTGAATGATATAATACATTCCTTGTTTGTCAGTTTTCATATACTCTGAAGAGGAAAATCCTTTTAATAAATAATCCTTTTCTATGTTCAGGCTATGTTTTCTTCAACTCTGCAGTAAAAAGGTAAAGGTACCCCTGCCCGTACGGGCCAGTCTTGACAGACTAGGGTTGTGCGCCCATCTCACTCAAGAGGCCAGGGGCCAGCGCTGTCCGGAGACACTTCCGGGTCACGTGGCCAGCGTGACATCGCTGCTCTGGCGAGCCAGAGCCGCACACGGAAACGCCGTTTACCTTCCCTCTAGTAAGCGGTCCCTATTTATCTACTAGCACTCTGCAGTACCTCTGCCATAATCCTGGTGATCAAAGTTTGCAAGTAGTTTCTAGCTGGGTTTAGTAGCAGCAGCCCAAATATGTCAGGCTGGGCTGTTGGCTTATTTGCAGTATGGTAGCGCTGCAGAGAGCTTGCTGGGGAGACCATGCATTAAAAAGGGACTAAAAAATAACTAAAACAAGGTTTTAATAAGAAAAACAAAAACTCCATTTACACTAATACATCAACAAACCAGACCCAACCACCAACCCATCCCCCAGGGTAATGGGAGAGCTAGGTGCTGCTCCTTATATACTACACCCAATTGCTGACACAGCTTAATCAGCAGTACCTGCTATGTTTCACAGCTGTAAAGCTGGGTCTCGTTATTTTGCTCTGGCCCCTTAAAGACATAGACATCGGGTGGAACAATGATGAACCTTTACATTTAAAGAAACCATTCAACATGGGCCAGGATTAGAATCCCAAATATATTTTAGTCACTGGGCCTCTAATATCAAATTGTTAATAATTCGTGGCATAGTTAATCCTCCCCCTCTCCCCGTGGATTGCATTCCAATTCTGAAAACAGCAAAAGAGTCTCCATCCATCCATAAGTATTTCTCATAGTGTTTTGTAATTTTGCCATCGCTGTGTTCCTAAACATTCATGCCATCTTCTCTGCCTGCAATATAGTAGTAACGAAACACTCTTGGAAGTGCTGTAGATCACCAATTTGCACTTAAAAGTTGTCAGGGCCAATCTACTATATGCAGTGGTACCTTGGGTTACATATGCTTCAGGTTACAAACACTTCAGGTTTCATACGCTTCAGGTTACAGACTCCGCTAACCCAGAAATAGTACCTTGGGTTAAGAACTTTGCTTCAGGATGAGAACAGAAATCGTGCTCCGGCAGTGTGGCAGCAGCGGGAGGCCCCATTAGCTAAGGTGGTACCTCAGGTTAAGAACAGTTTCAGGTTAAGAACGGACCACTGGAACGAATTAAGTACTTAACCAGAGGTACCACTGTAATTTACTTTAAAAATGTAAGGCAGCAAGGCTAAGAAATTCCTGTGCCGAGACAGCTAGACAGAGTAAGTAGCATTGGAACAGACTCATTTGGAAAGTGGTGGACTCTCCTTCATTGGAGGTTTTTAAGCAGAGGTTGGATGGCCATCTATTATGGATGCTTTAGTTGAGATTCTTGCATTGAAGGGAGTTGGATGGGATGGCCTTTAGGGGACGGGGAGCTGCGTATATGCTGTTGTCATCATCTTTGTCCATTGGCCATGCTGGGTGGGGACTGATGGTAGTTAGATTCTTGCAACATCCAGAGGGTCTCAGGTACCCCATGTTTAGACTAAAGCAGATCCAAGGGTTCATTTCATGATGAACTAGGATTGTTTTTACCATATTCTGACTGGTTGTGGTCTATGTTGATGTCAAACGTTTGATCAGAAGCAAAAGTTTCTTCCGTAATGATTGTAGGTGGACAAGTAGGCTAGAGACAGGGAATTTAAAGAATGATTTGTTTGGGATTTGCATTTTGAAACCATAAAACTATATCAGAGAGATTATTGTGAACTGTTGAAGTGGGAATTGTACAGAGTTTCACTGAAGCTTGATGGATTACTGTATTTTAATATTTTGTTGGAAGCCGCCCAGAGTGGCTGGGGAAGCCCAGCCAGATGGCTGGAGTATAAATATATTATTGTTATTGTTATTGTTATTGTTATTGTTATCATCATCATCATCAAAATTTGTCCCACAGAACAGTTAGATGATTTTACCTGGTTAGCTAACCTCTTTCTGACAGTGGCTAATGCTGACATTTTAGCCTAATTGAGTTGGTCAAATTATTCATTGCTTATAATTTATCTGATTGATTTTGGCATGTTTCTTTTTAGAAATTATTCAAGGCTGATTTTTCCTCATTCTCATCATTTAACTTGCCTTGTAAAAGGGTTGGTGAGAAAATAATTTATACAAACTACCACCCAGAAAAGTTCTTGATATATTATAGAACAGTGAATGTTCTTCACAGGACTGTTAAACATTGGCTTATAAAAAGTTTCACAATGGAATGCTTCAGGGTGAAAAGTTTGCCTATTTCATCCCTCACCCACCCTGGTGATATGAGCCTCCTCTCCCATAGATGACTAGGCTAGTGGCAACGAGATTAACAATAGCCCAGCACCAGGAAGTCACCAATAAATGTCAGTAAATTAACTGTCAGTGGTTGTTGATGCTTATGAAAAACCGACACACTAAGTTAAACAGTAGATGTAGGCTCCTTATACAGTTTGGCATTAATTCTTTCTTTCGTTAACCAAGAAGACACCCAAACACGTGTACCAAATCAATATGCCTGTATTTGGAATTTGTGATACCATGGTGGTTTCTGAAATGTTGCACAACCCACTTGAGACAGCTTTCCATCTCAGTGGAATCTGTGTACAAAATACAATCAACGTGAATGCTGTCAAAATATAATTTATCCTCTTCCCCACCCCCGCTTTATCCAGAAGGGTGACCCCTAAATGTGACAGTCCAGTTTCTTTGATCTGCTATATTTTCCAGAGAGAGAGAAGAGGATGTGCCACATAGGATTTCGGTCCTTAAAAAAATTACTCCATGGATGTTTATGTTTGTTCTGTGTTGCATGCATAACCATTAGTCATACATTGCACTCACAATCACCTGGGCAGTAGGTAAAATAGTCCTACTGACCAATGACTGTCGAGTAGTAGAAGGATGTAGATTTTGGATTGGTAATGGCTCCATTGTTTAGTATTCAGTTTCTTTGTTACAGTGAGACATAGAGGAGAATATTTAAATGTGAGTCAAGTGACATTCAAGAATGTTCAGTGCACAGCAGTCACTTTCTATTGTAACAATTACTATTATATGAAATAAAGGTTTCTAGTCTGTCCTGCAATTCAAATGTTCCTGCATTGTTGGACAGGAGAGGGAAAAGAGATCAGTCACTGATGAAGATAGCCGATGGCAGTGGGTAGATGAAACTGTCAAGCAAGTGGAAAAGCAATAAAGCATACAAAAATATTAAAAAGAATATTTTTTATTCTAATCGGCTAGCAATCTGCAATTCCTTCTGCCCGAGGCTCACAGCTCCTCTGCGGGCTAAACAGAAGATGCTCTGAGACCTTTTATGCTCTCATCCTAACACAACATAACCTTTCCTATGAAAAGAAAAAGTTTATTAAAGTATACACACACACATACAGAGAACCTTTTGTTTAAATGTGTAACTGTCAGAAGAAGCTACAAAAAAGTACACAAATGGGAAGAGCCTCTGGCAGAAACTAAAATGATCAGATGAAAGCTACACCAAAAGATCTTAAATACCAAACATTAAACATGCTTGTTTCATGGGTGCACATTTAATATATAGGTCTCTGGCCATACAGAATATTGTGGAATGCGCTCATTTGCTCCTCTCTATGTTCCATCATGTTATGAGCTGGTGCTTTTGAGATGTTAAGGGATGCAGGTGGTGCTGTGGTATAAACCACTGAGCCTTGGACTTGCCGATCGGAAGGTTGACGTTTCGAATCCCCGCGACAGGGTAAGCTCCAGTTGTTCGGTCCCAGCTCCTGCCAACCTAGCAGTTTGAAAGCACGTCAAAGTGCAAGTAGATCAATAGGTACTTCTCCGCTGGGAAGGTAAACGGCGTTTCCATGTGCTGCTCTGGTTTTGCCAGAAGCGGCTTATTCATGCTGGCCACATGACCCGGAAAAACTGTCTGCGGACAAACATCGGCTCCTTCGGCCAGTAAAGTGAGATGAGCACCGCAACCCCAGAATTATTCGCAACTGGACTTGAACTGTCAGGGGTCCTTTACCTTTACCTTTATGTTCCATCATGTTATGAGATGGTGCTTTTGAGATGTTTGCTCAGTGGAAAAGCAAAAGTTAATTGCCTTAATACAACAATAGATCTTCCTTTTAGCAATGTATGGAATTTCAACTATACAGGGAGATTAATGAGCATTATAAAAATCATTGGTGTACATCTGAAGATGTACCATATTAGGAAGCTCACAAGTCTTTTCCCTGATGTGGTAAACATTAACTGTCTCAGTGCTAAGATGCCTTCATAATCTTCTTCATGCTAAAGAGTGCCTTCCCCAATACAGTGGTACCTCGGGTTAAGTACTTAATTCTTTCTGGAGGTCCGTTCTTAACCTGAAACTGTTTTTAACCTGAAGCACCACTTTAGCTAATGGGGCCTCCCGCTGCCGCCGCGACGCCAGAGCATGATTTCTGTTCTCATCCTGAAGCAAAGTTCTTAACCCGAGGTACTATTTCTGGGTTAGCAGAGTCTGTAACCTGAAGCATATGTAACCCGAGGTACCACTGTACCAACCACCTCTGACCTGACTATTGACAGGGTCCTTTAAGTGCTGGTTCCTTGGTTGTGGAATGCCCTCCCTAGTGAGGTGCACTTGGCTCCATTATTATTAATTTTCAGGAGGAAATTGAAAGCATTCCTATTTACCCAGCCATTTGGTGTCTGAAGAATATGGTTCCTGGCAACCCAGAAATAATTGGATGGAAGAATGTTTTTAGCTGTAACTGCTTGTAGATATTTTGTTGCCCTGGTCATCTCGAGGGGGGAGGACAGGAGAATAATTCAATAACTAACAAATTAATAATA